AGTGGTTCTAACAGGAAATGTCAAGGATAAATAAGAGACAGGAATTAAGAAAAGGTGCCAGGCAGTGGTGGCGCACCCCTTTAATCCCAGCACTCAGGAGGTAGAGTAAGGTGGATTTCAAGTGCAGTTCAAGGCCAGCGGGGTCAAAAAAGGAAAGGAAAGGCAGGCAGGGCTGGGGAGCTGGTTCTGTTGGTAAAGTGCTTGTCATACCAACAAGAGGACTTGGGTTTGATCCCCCAGACCCCACGATAAAAAGCCAGGCTCAGGGGTACACTTGGAATTCCAACAGTGGGGAATCAGAGGCAGGGGTGCCTGGGCCCTGCTGGCCAGTCAGTCAAGCCCAACCCATGGTCTCCATGTTCCCGGAGAGATGCTGGATCAAAAACAGACCCGTGTGGTCATGGCAGCACACGCCTTTAATCCCATCCCTCAGGAGGCAGAGGCAGGAGGATCTCTGTGAGTTTGAGGCCAGCCTGGGCTACATAGAGAGTTCCAGGCCAGCTTAAAGTTCATGGTGAGACCTTGTCTGACAAAATAATAATAATAAAAGTGGAAAGTGATTAAGGAAAACAATGTCAACCTTTGGCTTCTACACACATAGACACACACACACACAAAGGGGCGGGAGGCATGCTTTAAACGGGAAATCAGGAGGCAAAGGACAGAGTTTAGGAGGCCACATTATCCTTCATTTAGTGGACATGTGCTGATAAGATAGCACGAGGGAGCCTCTGAAAAGGAAACTTTCTCACCCATTGCCCTCTGTCCCTCAAAGAACATCGTGGCCGTGGGGGCCGGCTTCTGTGACGGGCTTGGCTTCGGCGACAACACCAAGGCAGCTGTGATCCGCCTGGGGCTCATGGAGATGATCGCCTTCGCCAAGCTCTTCTGTAGTGGCTCTGTGTCCTCTGCCACCTTCCTGGAGAGCTGCGGTGTTGCTGATCTCATCACCACCTGCTACGGCGGGCGGAACCGCAAGGTGGCAGAGGCCTTTGCTCGCACTGGAAAGGTAGGCACGCAGGTCTCAAGGTGGGGGTGATCAGCAGGGAGGTGGTTGTGCTCGGTGGTACCTGGGAGGCTGAGGCAGGAGAATGACGCCCACCAGGCCAGACTGAGCTATGCCGCCAGACCCTGTCTCAAAAGCAGGCAAGCAAACAAAAATGGAACGGACTGGAATGCTGCCCAGGGGTAGAGCACTTGCCCACACAGAGTCTTCTTGAGGCCCTGGGTTCAATCACGGGAAGGGGAGATTGTTTTGAAGTTTCCCACCCCCCCTCCCCAAAAGAGCGCAATTCCCATCTGACCCCCAGACTTCCCTGCTCAGACAGCCTTGCTCTCCCACTTCCATTCACATGTTATTTTCCTCACAGTCCATTGAGCAGCTGGAGAAAGAGATGCTGAACGGGCAGAAGCTCCAGGGGCCCCAGACAGCCCGGGAGCTACACAGCATCCTCCAACACAAGGGCCTTGTGGACAAGT